TTTAGAATTTTTTTTTTTTTTAAGAGAGATTTTTGCTATAGTGCCTGTGCACTTGCCAGAGAGACAGAAAGCAAGAAATCACCCCTCAGGGAGGATGGCCACACCACAATCCCTTCTCTTCCATTCTTCTCTTGGGATTTTGGGCACACATGCACATGCACCTGGTGTGAGTTTGAAGCCACCAGGTCTGGGACTCAAACTCCAGCTGACTATGTGGGAGTCCATCTATGTAACCATTATGCTATCTGCTGGTCCCAGGATTTTTTTTGTTTTTGTTTTAATTTTTAGTTTGTTATAGGGCACATGTGCTTGCTAGAGAGAGAGAGAGAAATCTCCCCCTGGGGGAATGGTCACAGTCCCTTTTCCTTTCTCCTTTCAGGATTTTGGGCACACATGTGCCTGGCCTGTTTTTCAAGCTGATGTGTCTGGAATTTGAACCAATGTAGTCAGCCATCTGGAATTCAGCCACCTTAACCTCCATACCACTTCCTGACCCTCAGATCTTCTTTCTGACTGATACACAAATGAGAAAATGGGCCACTGTCAGGTAGGTGGTTAAGGTGAATGGATCCCACATGGTTGTGTGGGTTAAATCCCAGACTTGGTGGCTTGAAAAACACTGAGCACATCTGTGGCAGCTTGAAAAACCTACTGGGTACCTGTGTGTCAATGTCCAAAATTCCAAGAGGAGAGAAGATTGAGGTGTGACCATCTTCCTGGGGGGTGAGGGGCTTTCTCACTTTCAGTCTCTTTCTTTTCTCTCTCTGATGAGCGCATGTGCCCTATCACTAATTTAAAAAGAACGAGAAGGAGTTCCTCCATTAAGTTCCTTGGATTTTTCTGTTTTATTTTCTTTTTCTTCTAAGAGACTTTTTGCTATAGGAAGTGTGTGAGTGCTTGCCAAAGGGACAGAGAGAGACAGAAAGAGAGTAAGTGAGAAATCGTCCCCCAAGGGGGATGACCACGTCACAATCCCTTCTCCTCCATTATCTTTTAGGAATTTTATGCATGCATGCACATGCTCCTGGCATGAGTTTCAAACTACCAGGTCCGGGATTCAACTGTGATTGGCCATGTGGAAGTCCAGCACCTTAACCACTATACCACCTTCTGGCCTCCAAAATTGTTTTTCTTTACCAGATAGGTATAAATAATTTTACTCAGAAAGGAAGAAGATTGTTCTGTTTGGTTATCAGTATGCCACCGTTATTCTCACTCCAGAATGAAACTATGATACTACAGATTTAAAATGATTTTTGTGTTCTTGACTATAAAATGGGGATAATGATAGTATCTGTATCACAGGATTGTTAAGAGATTTAATTAAGCTAATATATATTAGTTCTAGGAACTTTTTTTTTTTGTCAGGGGTATGTGTGTTCGAAGAGAGACAGAAAATAAGAAAACTCTCCTATCCCTCCATGGGGAATGATCACACTCAGTCTCTTCTCCATTTCTCTATCCTTTCAGGATTTAAGTACATCCACCTGGTGTGTCTGAAGCCAGTGGTCTATTCTCTCTGCCTGTCAAAATATCAGAATTTGATTACTTTTTATTTCTACTATTAACACTCCATCTAAGCATCCTCCATTATTTCTTGCCTGGACTACTGCACTAGAGTTTAACTGGTCTTACTTCCGCTTTTGCCTCTCACCACATAGCGCCTAGTGTGGTCTTTTAAAAAAGAAATAGAATTTTGTTATTTCTCTGAAACCCTCCTGTGATTTCCCCTTATAGTTAATATAAAATCTAACTTTTACTTTGGCTTAAAAATGATCTGGCCTCTGCTAACTTTTCCAGCCCCTTCTTGTGCTATTTGCTTTTGGTGTACTTGTTTCTTTCTGTCTTTCAATGTATCAAGCTAATTTTGACCTTAGGTCCTTTACCCTATACTGTTCTGAAGTGCTTTGCCCTAAATCATGTATTATTTTCTAGCCATACTGGCTAAACCTTGACACTTCTTTCTTGCCCCTTTTTTCCTTCATTTTTTCATATCAATGTATGAGCATATCCTGTTGATTTTACTTGTAAAATACATTCGGAATCTTTACTTTTTACCACTTTTATCGTGAACACTTTGGTCATCATCATTTCTGCTTGGTTTATTACAGGAGCTTCCTAATTTGTCTTTGTTTATACCTTTACTGCCCTATTGTACTTTTCACTTCACAGATAAAATAATGCTTTTTTAAAAGAAACTACTTCTTGAATTGTAGAAAAATTGAAAACATAGTACAGAGTTATCATATACCCACACCCAGATTCCTCTGTTCATAACATTTTACATTAGTTATAGTTAAAACATTAATGCATTAATACTAAGGTCCATGATTTATTAAGATTCCCTCATTTTTAACCTATATTCTTTGTCTGCTCCAGGACCCCATCCAGGATACCAGATTACATTTACTTGTAAGATCTCCTTAGGGTTCTCTCAACTGTGAAAGTTTTTCATACATTTCTTGTTGTTAATGATCTTGACAGTTTTGAGAAGTCAAGGACTTTGTGGATTCCCCGCTAGTTTGTCAGATACTTTCTCTTGATTATTCTGGTGTTAAGGGTTTTGCCAAGAAGACCATAGGGAGAATGTGTGGTTCTTATCATGTGAAGGTGATACACTGTCAGCATTGATCTTGCATGAGCTAGTCCCTCCTTACTTTTCTACAGTTGTCTCCTACTATTATTTTTCCCTTATAAATTCTTTTATTTTTTTTTTTGAGAGGTTTTTGCTATAGGGCGCATGGGCTCGCCAGACAGACAGAGACAGACAGAAAGCGAGAAATCACCCCCCAGAGGGGATGGCCATGCCGCAATCCCTTCTCCTCCATTCTCCTCCTGGGATCTTGGGCACACACTCACACGCGCCGAGTGTGACTTTAAGCCGCCGGGTCCGGGACTCGAACCGCTGTCAACTACATGGGAGTCCAGCGACATAGCCATTATGCTAACTACTGGCCCCTTCCCTTATAAATTCTAATCCTGTTTATTAGGTACTTTAAGTTTTTTTTGGAGAGATTTTTTTATTATAGGGCGTGTGTGCTCACCAGAAAGACAAAAAGAGAGAGACAAAAAGCAAGAAATCCCCCCCCCAAGGGTGGATTGCCACACTGCAATCCCTCCTCCTCCATTCTCCTCTTGGAATCTTGGGCATGCACACACATGTGCCTGGCGTGAGTTTAAGCCACTGAATCTGGGCCTCAAACCACAGTCAACTACATGGGAGTCCAGCGACATAGCCATTATTCTAGCTGCTGGTCCCGGTACTTCAAGTTTTTTGAATATCACTCAGCTTGCTTCTGCCTCAGGGCCTTTGCTATTTATCCTCTGTGCCACTGGAATTTCTTTTAGATGGCATCATGGTTTACACCCTTACTTCCTTCTGGTTTCTGCTCATGTGTCACTGAACAGAGAAGCATTTGTTGAATACTTTACCAAAAATCATATAAGGAGACTGGCAGTGGCATGGTGGTTAAGGACATTAGAATCTCACATGGCTGATCACAGTTGAGTCCCAGACCTGGCAGCTTGCTTTCTCACTTTCTCTCTCAGTCTGTCCCTCTCTAGTCAAATTTAAATAAGTAAGTAAATAAGTAAATAAATAAATAAAGTTAAATAAAATAATTCTTTTTAAAAAATTCATGTAGGGCCAACCAGGTGGTGTGGTAGTTAAGACGGCTGGATTTCACGTGACTGAGTGTACAGTTTGAGTCCTGGACCCAGTCGCTTGAAAACACACTGAGCATGTGTGCATGTGTACTTGTGCACATGCCCAAAATTCTGAGAGGAGAATGGAGTAGAATGGATTGCGGTATGATCGTCTTCTCTTGGGGATTCTTTTGGGTTTTTTTTTGAGAGGTTTTTGTTATAGGGTGCATGTGCTTGCCAGAAAGACAGACAGAGAGACAGAAAGTGAGAAATCACACCCCAGGGGGGATGGCCACTCCGCAATCCCTTCTCCTCCATGCTCCTCTCGGGATCTTGGGCACGCACCCACACACGCCCGGCGTGAGTTTAAGCCTCCAGGTCTGGGACTCAAGCTGTGGTCGACTACGTGGGAGTCCAGCGACATGGCCATTATGCCAACTGCTGGTCCCGGGGATTACTTCTTCATTTCCTTCTCTTTTTCTTCCTTTCTCTGTCTCTCTCCAGTAAGTGCATGTACCCTATATCAAATTTAAAAAAAAGTCATACATTATTACCATCATCTTTTATTCCCTTACCCTTCTTCTTTTATTATTATTATCATTATCATTAAGGTTTTTGCCACAGGGCCTGTGCACTCTCTAGAGAGAGTGAGAGGAAAGTTGAGTAATAACTTCCCAGCGAGGGATGGCCATGGCAAAAATCCCTTCTCTATTCTCTTCTTGGGATCTAAGGCACACAGACATATGCACACGGCATGATTTTCGAGCCACCAGGTCCGGTCTCGAACTGTGGTTAACTATGTGGGAATCCAGGGCCTTTACCACCATGCCACCTGCTGACCCCTTTCACCCTTCCTTATTGTCTCTTCCTGTTAGTCTCCACATGACATATATTTACTTTTTTATTTGTTTATTATTTCTTTCCTCTTCCTTGAATATAAATTCCACAAAAGTATGAACTTTATCTGTTTTGTTCATTCTATTCCCCAGCCTCTAGACCCATGCCTGGCACATAGTATATGCTTAATAAATATTTATAAATGAATCATTGTTCATACTATTTTCTAAAAAGATTGTGCCAGTTTATACTCCCCCAGCAGTGTATCATATGTTTACTTTGTTGTATCTTGGGTAGCATCGAATATTATCTTTTAGAATATTTGAATGTTTAAAACTGTTGCTTTTAATACATTTTGATGATTAGTAAAGGGTGTCTTTATATATATTAAATTGTATATTTCTCTCTGTGGAATTCTTCAATTTCATGTTACAATTTTTGAATTGTATGTACCTGTGAATCTAGATACACTAGTAGTATAGTAGGTACATGAAAATAACTTCCTTTCCTTTCCTTAGGTTATTATAGTGACCACTTCACCAAGTTCAACCTTCGTTCCCAACATTCTCTCCAAATCCCATAACTATGCAGCAGTTACTAAGCTTGTACCAACATCAGTCATTGCTTCTACAACTCAGAAGCCACCAGTGGTTATAACTGCTTCACAGTCCTCTTTGGTCAGTAGTAGCAGCAGTGGCAGCAGCAGCTCTACGCCATCGCCTATTCCGAGTACAGTTGCAGTAACTGCTGTGGTATCCTCCACACCCTCTGTGGTCATGTCAACAGTAGCACAAGGTGAGTGGTAATTTATCATTTAATTCTGTCCATGTAGGTGTATGGGAATTTTGAAGAAAATTCTGTCGGTATGTTTCTAGCTTTGGGTATGAATGTACCTACTATTAGAGCAGAGATTACCATCCCCTACCTCACAGTTAGAGAATTTGAAGATAGTGGGTTACTGAGTTTTCTTGTACTCATACATTTATGCTAAGTATTTTTCTTTTTTTCCATGTGTGTAGTACCTAATCACCTATACAATTTAATAGTCACAAAATATAGGCTAAATCTTGTCACAATTTTTAAAGGACCATACAAATACCTTTAATGAGTGTGTGTGTGTGTGTGTGTGTGTGTGTGTGTGTGTCTATGTAAAACTTGAAATTATATTGCTTTAGGTTCTTCAGAAGAAACCTCAAGCGTACACCCTTTCCAAAATAGATAAAAAAGGAGGCAATGAGGATGATCTCAAGGGCATACTATTTGCCTCTTCCTTATTTTTCTAAATTCTTCTGTTTTGATAGTTGATGCCTGCTTTTTCTTTCTCCCGAGTTCTTCTGTTTTGGTAGATGAAAGAAGTATTAAGTGAGAGAGAAACTGAGAGCTGAACTTACGGATGCTACTTAATGACAAGAGAAAGAAAATGTGGAAACCTAAGTTCCATTTTGGCTTAAATCAACCTAGCTCTCCTATATCTTTGTATTCTTCCTATATGAAAGGCAAATAGTATACTATCAGAAATTTCTTGGGCTGGCAAGTGGCATGGTGGTTAAGGGCGCTGGACTCCTACATGGCCAACCACGGTTCAAGTCTTGGACCTGGTGGTTTGCTTTCTCACTTCCTCTCTCTCTCTCTCTGTCTCTCTCTGATCAAACTGGAAAATAATGATAATAATAATAAATAAAGTTAAATAAAATAATTATTAAAAAAAAAAGAAAGAAATTTCTTTTACCATGTGAGTAAGTCTTAAAAGAGGGATCATAGAGAATCATGTATTGTACAGGTTTCCTACCCATGTTTATACTCTATCAGAGGAAGCAAAGAAGCAATATAGAAGGGTACTTCACTTTTTTTTTTCTTTTTTTGAGTATTTCACATTTTTATTGGATTTTCCATGAATAATACATAGTTTCAGATAGATTAGAGCTTAAAAATAGCTTAATTTATGCTCTGGTAGTGAATGTAAGCACTCAAATTGAAAAACACAGTATCATAATTGCTTTACTAATGTATAGTATGTTCTGTGTAACTGTTAGCAAGGAAATGGTTGCATAGATACAGATGCTGGTAGTATTCCTTCACACTGTAATTGTTTGGTAATATGTGAACCTTTTTTATTTTCTGGCACTTGATGTCTCAGTCAGTGATAGGAAATAGCAGGTTTCAGATTTTATCTTATATGTTATTTTAAGTAATTTTTCTTTTTTACTTTTATTTATTCATTCATTTGTTTTAACTTGACCAGAGAGAGATACAGAGAGAGAGAGAGAGAGAGAGAGAGAAAGAAATTGAGAGAGAGGGAAACTGAAAAACAAGCCACCAGGTCCCAACTCGAACCATGGTCTGCCATGTGGGAGTGTCCAGCGCCTTAAATACCTCACTACCTGCTGATCCCCATATCTTAAGTAATTATTATTATTTTTTTTTGAGAAGTTTTTGCTACAGGGCACGTGTGCTTGCCAGAAAGACAGAGAGATAGACGGAAAGCGAGAAATCACCCCGCAGTGGGGATGGCCACACCGCAATCCCTTCTTCTCCATGCTCCTCTCAGGATCTTGGGCATGCATGCACATGCGCCCGGCGTGAGTTTAAGCCTCCAGGTCCGGGACTCACTCCCCAGGGGGAATGGCCGTACCACAATCCCTTCTCCATTCTCCTCTTGGGATCTTGGGCACGCTTGCACACGTTCCCGGCGTGAGTTTAAGCCACTGGGTCCGGGACTGAAACTGCGGTCGACTACATGGGAGTCCAGCAACATAGCCATTACCATAACTGCTGGTCCCCATAAAATTTTAAAAACCATTTCAGCTTTATTTGTGTAGCAGTAGATGATAATATAGTAGTATTAAATATAGAGATAATTTATAATCTGTATAAGATGCTGGTTGCAAACTTGTTACTAATTCATCATTTTAAATTGGAAGGTTAATAAAGGAAAGGCCACCTGACTAATCCTGTTATCAAAACTAATACAAAATTTTTATCTATTGATGTTTGTTTTTTCCTTCCAGTACTTAACACACAGTTTGCTGAAATTTTACCATATTACAAGGATTACTGTTCTCATGAAAGATGGGAGGTATTTCTTTCTGTTACTAATGAAATATCTTAAGGCCAAATAACTAGTTCATGCTTCTATTTTTTTATTCTTATTTTTCTCCAGGGATCCTCTGAATCTTCTAGGAGCTTATGACTTCCTTCATGTTTTTGCTTTGCTTCTTAGCATCCTTCTTAGGTACTGGGTCATCGAAAAAGTCATGATGCATTTTTGCATAGAAAAAGAGAGAAAAAAGAAGTCATGACTTTTCTAACGACTAGTAATACAAGGTAGCTGGACATGATATCTCAGAGAGTTCTCTGAAAGTCACTGGAAATCAATAGAGTATGAGAGATGTGAAGTAAACTATCTGAATATAAATACTCAAGGAAACTCTATGTTATCTTGTTTCTATTTAAGATACAGATGCTTTTAACATCTGAATTCCGTTTCTACAACTAAGTCAATAAGCAAATTGGTTGATTAGTGAGGAACTTAAAGGTGGATGTCTTGTGGTATGTCATGGCAATACAGTTTGTATTTTTCAGTCAATACTGGGTGATACTACACTAGAATAATATAATTCTATCTATACAAAAGCATACATTATGCAAGTATAAAAAAGCAACAAGACATACAACACAATAATATAAATCCACCATAATTGTTTTTATTTATCCTGAATACTACTATGGGTGCACAATAAAGTACAAACTTATAAACAAAATATATGCTTTTTGTAGTGAATATTAACCAGCTGTGGGAACGAGACAAAGACAGAAAGGAGATTCTCCACATAGTAGAACTGGTTATAAGTTGAGTAGTATAGGTAGGTCATTAAGTGAGGAGTGGCTGTACTTAATTTAGATATTACTAGTGCTAAGAAATTAAGGCATTTTATTTAAAAAAAAAAAGGTAAATACTAGCAGAGGTGATAATACCCAGACTGCAGTTTTGATTCTGACTTTCAGAGCTTCTGTTAGCCACTCCTGTGTGGCTAACTGGACTTGGACATTCGGTGTCGGCTTTTCTTCATCATTTTTTTTTTTTTTTTTTTTTATTTTGCTATGGAGCACATGTGCTCACCAGAAAGAGAGAGAGAGAGAGAGATAGAGAGAGATAAATCACTCCCCAGGAGGGATGGCCATGCCCTAATCCCTTCTCTTCAATTCTCCTCTCGGGATCTTGGGCACACACGCACATGCGCCTGGTGTGATTTTAGGCCACTGGGTCTGAGACTCAAAGTGCCGTCGACTACATGGGAGTCCAGTGACATAGCCATTACACCAACTACTGGTCCCTTTTTTTTTTTTTTTTAAGCAAAAATTAATCCACTTATTATAGGCTAGTGATATTCCAAATGTCTGTGGAGCTTCTACTGGTCTTTTAATTCCTTCAGTCTTCTGATGGCAGACTTTACTGTGACAGCTGAAATGGTGTTGCAGGTCCAGGCACCACTGGCTACCATTTTCATTCAGGAACCACAGTGCCAGAGCCCTAAAGCTAATCTCTTCATCTTGGTTTTGCCACAGAAGGAGCCATACTTGGCGTGCTGACTTTCAATATTCTTCACCATTTTCTAGAAGGAGGCACCATAGCGGGTCCCTTATTTACAGACTATGCGGACCTTCCTATGGTGTTGCAGGTCCAGGCACCACTGGCTACCATTTTCATTCAGGAACCACAGTGCCAGAGCCCTAAAGCTAATCTCTTCATCTTGGTTTTGCCACAGAAGGAGCCATACTTGGCGTGCTGACTTTCAATATTCTTCACCATTTTCTAGAAGGAGGCACCATAGCGGGTCCCTTATTTACAGACTATGCGGACCTTCCTGGTGCGTTTAGCCATATTGCCACCAACTAGGTCTGAACCCAGAAAGCAGTGTTTTCTTTTATTGTGGTCTAGGCACAGACTGTTGTAGAGCTGTTGTAGCTGTGGTTGTTCTTTTAGGGGCAACGGGTGGTAGAAGGGAAAGGGGTCTTAGTAGCAGTAACTTGGTGGGTGACTCCGTGTTCATAACTGTAGAGATGGTTCCAAAGGTTCAGGGCTTATGGATGGTTGGCTCATACTGTAGGAAGGGAAAAGAGCTCCTTAATACTTTGGACATGGGAACTCCTAAAATACTAATTAGAATGGTTATTTTGAGCCGGTAACGAGGTAATGATATTTTTTATTTATATGGACAATTTACATCATGCAAAAGTAGAATTAGTAAAATGAATCCCCATGTTCCCATTATCCATTTTCTTTTTTTAATTTAATTTAATTTTAATTTCTTTTATATATTCAATCACTATACATCACTTAGCTTGTAAAGTGAATATTCCCAATATGTATACACGTCACCCCAGTCCAACTGAGGATGCTATACTATTATCATCAATAAATAGTAATTCATTTCTGTGTCCCATAAATGTCTTCTCTCTCTATTTTTCTCCTTAATGTCTTTCCTCATATTCTCCCCTTCTCCTACCCTCTTCCCACACGCTGTCCAGTTTCCATAACCATTTTATATGCTTCTGTATCCTCTAATCTTTCAGTTTCTACCATAGATGGCAGGTAGTTGGTATATATTAAGTTGAGACATACAGTGTCTCTCTTTCATTTACTCAGCAGTAAATCTTCCATATTCTTCACCCACTTTCTATCAAAAGTCAAGGTCTTATTTTTTATGGCTGAGTAATATTCCATAGAGTATATGCACCACACTTTTTCAATCCATTCATCTGTTCGTAGATATTTGGATTGGTTCCATTTTTCA